TAGTGTGTGTGTGTGTGTGTGTGTGTGTGTGTGTGTGTGTGTGTGTGTGTGTGTGTGTGTGTGTGTGTGTGTGTGTGTGTGTGTATGGATATTTTATCAATAGATGGTTTCTTTATAAATTATATAGTAAATTATATAACAATATGGTTCATTAGTTCTACAAAATATTTAATTGACTAATCAAAACAAAGAATTGTATCAATTGATCAAGTCAAAAAGCACTTCGAGGCATTTGGAGCATCAAATGGACTGTGCCTATAATTTATATAGATATATGTAAAATTTTTCTTTTCTGTTGAGTTATCGGCTTTTCAATTAAATCGATTTTTTATATTTACAATGTTCATCATTCCGTTGTAGGATGGCGCTTTTAGCACTAAACTATAGTGCGCCATCTACGAGATTATGCTTAAACTTCTAACAGCAACCACATGCATCGTACTCACCAGGCGGCGTAGCACACCCGTCAATGTCCAAGAGGGGATTCCCCACCGCTTTTCTTGTGTGTGAGTGGTGAGAATAGTGGGGGTATGTACCTATGCCATGCCCGCAACGGCGCAGAATCCCATCGATCATTCGTGCCGTTTCCCCGTGTTTCACGCCGCCGTGTATTGCGCGGTGTAGAGAGAGGAGTCGTCCACCAATGCCCCCTTCGACCCCGCGTGGCCACCACTTTGCCTCTGACACATCCACCCATCTCACCCCACTTCGCGCAAATTCCCCCTTCCTGTACGATGTGCCGAGTCCGTGACGGTTCGGCGGGCAATGCCGGCCGACCATCACGAGGCCTTACCTTCTCTATTATATTTATGTGGTGGCTTGCGGCCTGGAAGGTTTATGTGGTGTCTCCACTCTGTCTCGTGCCGCTCCTTTTTTTTCTTTTTACTCCCTCTGCCAAATATACATCTTTCGTCTGAAATTACTTTGCAATTCGCGCTGACTACATGCGTTATGAATTTGTATTATTATCCAATAATTATCGAATAAATAAAATCGCATGTCATAAATTTTAAATTAGTGAACGTGATGAAAATTTGACAAATAATTAGATTTTGATGGTGTCTGTGCGCGTTATCCATATATCCTGTGGGCATTTGGAAACAGCAAAGTGTTCGATGAATGACACCACGTGTCGGGTGAACCAATAAATGTGCGCGTAGATGCTGAATATCAGCCAATAAGAATGTAAAGATGTTGGACCATGCTTCAGATACCGTTGTCATGATTGTGCGAGAAATGTGACTTTATCACACGTATATGTTGGATGAATACATTTCGATTCAATCGGTAAATAATTTTGATAATTTTTTATTATCTATTAAATTATTAAATTGTATATTTTCTATATGTTAGCGCTATTGGACATAATTATAAAATATCTATCTTACAATTACTTATATCTTACAATTATTAATATAATAAAGTATTTATAAACGTGTATAATATTATACATACATATTGTAATATACATATATGTGCGTGAGCGCGCGCGCGCGCGCGCGCGTGCGTGCGTGTGTGTGTGTGTGTGTGTGTGCGTGTGTGCGCGTGTGTGCGTGCGTGCGTGCGCGCGCGCGTATTTATATAATTTGTGTATACGCGTACGGTTAATAAATAACTAAATTGAGAGGGAATATTTTATCGAAGAAGCTGTCAAGTTCAAATAACTTTTATATACGAATCCTATTATGATATTTTTATGCAAAACAATCATGTCAAATATATTTTTCTATATTATTTGATTGAAAAGATATTTATTGATGTTTAATTGATATTCTGATATAAAATAGGAGGTCATAAATCATACATGTATATGACATGAGAGAATATATAGAAACATACAAAATTAAACAACACGTTGCGTATTAGCAGAATATGTATGTATACAATCCATGTCTAACCGCATGTAATTTATTGTTTCAGGTAAGTGACGTTGCAACGCCTCAAGCCTTGTGAAGCATGTCCCTGCATCTTGCTTGGTAATGTAAGCAACTTATTCATCTTAACAATATCAAACATTAATGACTCGCGCGAATGAAACAAAGAAAGTGCAATTAATATAATATAATTCTATGCTTCATTATATTGTCTCCTATTTTTTAAATAATATATTACTATTATTAACATTCTATTGTGCATAAGCGCACAACACACATGATATTATATTCTTATACTTGTCCCTATATTCTGCTACAATATTTGTAATGTTGTGCCCGATCGATATGGGGCAATCGACACGAAGTAAAAAGATCGACTTTAGAACTGTCAAACCAGAAGACATCCTGGAATCTGTGCAAGTTCCGCGCAACTTTCGGTCAGTTATAGATAGCTTTTATAATTTCTTCATTAGTTGTTCTATTGTGTGATATAGCATTTCTGTTTTATATTTGTACATTTTTTGAATCAATAACTTTTATTTATACGAGTACGACAATGCTACGAATGAATTTGAAAATCTCTCGAACATAACAATATAACAATTAGTTATAAGAAAACTGAAATGTATTATTTTGTATTATAACTGTAAGATTAAACCAAAATTACATATTTTTATAAAAATTAAATTTAAACATAACTAATTTACTAATAAGATCGAGATAGATACCAAATGGATAATATATTAAAAAATACAGAAAAATACAGAAAAATGTATAAACTAAAAATATTCCTTGTTTATCACATCTGTTGTTTTTAATTAATTAGTTATTTTAATTAAATTAAATTAAATTAAATGTGTTTTTAATCAAGAACACTTTCATTAAAAAATTTTAAATTTGAGACTAGCTCACTGCGACTATCCGTATCGTATTAATGATGTCAAAAGTGAGAAAACATGATGACAAAATTCTTGCAAAATACATTACAAAAATATTTTTCCATAAAATAATATTTGCAATTCATGGAACAGACTTGTAAAATGTATCAAAAACTTCTCATTTGTTTTGGTAATGAATATATGAAATAACCATATAAATAATTATATAAATTTTGTTTTTTATATAATAATTTTACGCTCATAAACATATTATGAATATAAATATGTGCATTACATTGTATTACAATATTATTGCAATAATATCTGTTAATAATATGAATGATACTAATAGTATACCACACAATACCACACAATACCACACAAGTATTGTGGTAAAGGTGTAAATGGAAGATTAAAAGAGACTTATTATTGAATGCTGCTAAGGAATGAAAAATAAAGCAATCACGTAAAAATGAACGGAAAAAAAGTAAAAAAATAAAAGAACTAAGAAAGAGACACAAATGAATACGAGAAGGTTAGAAAGGTGCTCGCAAAAGCATTGCTGAGAAATCCTCGTCAACAACAGAACCAGGATAGGCCCACACACCCGGCGGCTTGTAAAACACGCAGCGAGATTAAATGCTTCATTAATATGATTAAAGTAAAAAGCTGCTTGAGTAACGAGCAACAGTGAATCATCAGCTGGTCGGGTCCACAAAACCAGTGCATTATTCTGCTGTTCTATAATTGATACTTTTATTCGGAATTTTACAGTCTACAATAAAGTCTACAAAAAAATCTAGAAAAGAGAATAAGAAAGATGCAGACAATTTTCAACAATTGATATGAATAATAAATACGATTAAATAACTATAGAAATAATAATATCAAAAACTTAACAGTTCATATTATATAATAACTTTCAATTTGTTTACAAAACTTAATTTGTAAGTGTCTTATTTATGATTTATTTTTTTGTTAATTATATAGACGAGATAATCAGTTCAGTATATCAAAGAAATTTTAATTGCCAATTGGACCAAATGAGGAACAAACATAGCACTGAATGCAGCTGGAAGAATGTTTTAAGTTACTATTCTTGTCACTCGCCATGCCCGCGCTCATAAAATAAAACTTTTAATATTCACAATTAAATTGAAATGTCATTATTTTACTGTAGTATCTTCTTCTATACTCTACATACATCTTTCTTTCTTTTCTAAATACTGCTCACTCTATTGAATACATTCATTATAACGCGTTGGAAGTTACAACATTTGTAACATAATCATATATGATGAATGTACTTTTTATTCTAAAAGTATCAGAGTTATATTAAAAACTATTGTATATATCGATACAACAAATCTTGCAATAACATGAGAACAATTACTTTAGTAAAGTAGATAATTGTGATATAATAGTGGATCGCTCGAAAGTGTCACGGGTCACTGTAACGTATCATTTCGTTTGTACGGGATACATCACAGCGTTGGTGCTTGGCGACATGCAAGGTGCTATGGCTTGACACAAAGTGCAAGCAGATGCGATCGGCGATTATACACTTACAACGTTACCGTATATAAACGGTGCCCGTATAAGCCGCGGTAGATATGCATACACCGCGGATACATATAATGCGGTCCAAAGCACGAGGGCAATGCATCTTCCACGCGACATCAGAGCCTACACTAATCGCGCGACAATCTTCACCACGGTAAGAAGAGAGGAATAAGAAGGAGGACAAGGAGAAGAAAATCGCATGTATCGCTGTGTCTCGGTGTGTCTCGCAAAGGAAGAAAGAAGTGGAGGAGAAAGATGGTGTCACAAACAAGGAAAGTGTGAAGAAGGACGCGGACAAAAGAAGATAAGAGCAAGAAGATTAAGAAGGAAGAAGCGGACTGTGTAACGTTTTGCGAAAGAGGAAAGAAAAGAGGATTGAATACATACAAAAATGAAGGCACGCATGACGGAAGTAATGGTTATAACAAATATAGAAAAAGAAAAAAATACAAAATACTTATTATATCTACTGAATCTAAATATAAAAAGATAAGAAAAAAGCAATGTAATTAAAATATCACTCAATCATAAAAGTTGAATGAAAAATGAAATATATCCATAATGATGCATGCTAGAGAAACAGATGCGTAGGAATGTTGCATAATAAAAAAAAAATAATTTTAATAAATAGAAATATTAAAAATTTATATAAAGATTATTTTCTTCTTTTTAATAAAATCATATGCTGTTAATAGATAAAAACGGCAATAAATTATTATTTTATGAAATGTAGTAAATTTTTATTTCATGACGTAATAGCTGTATTTTTGCAATTTTGCAAAAATATTATGTAACAAATATATTTATTTTTCCTAAAGAATTTACATATATCATAAATTTACATAAAAGATTACTATTCTCGTAAATACTTTCTATAATTTGTGTTGCATAACATTCATAATTAATAGGTTTAAATTGAATAATTATTGATTCACATATAAGATTGCTGTTTCGTTGAAATTATTAATTGTTAGCTATTATTATTCAATGAATCATTTCATGATTCAGGTGCGATAGTGTCTAATTTCTTTTATGATTGTAATGAAGCCTTGACACCATCCACAATTTGCAATGCTGCCTTTCACCGCAAGGCAAATGCACGATTTTTTTAATTTTTAAAGATCAAGAGTGACGAGAGTCTAACTCGTATAACGGCCATATTAACGGCGATAAGGAAACCGGCAGTTGTAGTGGCGCTCTCTGTCGCATGAAATACTGCGATACGCATCTATCGAACGAAGCTATGGTGCTATGTCGACCGCACACAGCAAGCAAACCTGTAATTTATTCCTCGACGGCCGCGTACCTCCCAACAATATAATCATTATAATTACTGTTACCCCTTCAAATGGAGCTCGATAATAATCGTTTGTATTTGTTACACGGCTTTTCGCATTGACTCTACACATTCGTAGAATATAGGGATGATTTCTTTGAACTGTATCGAGTCACTTCCCTCTGATATTACATATCAATTTTAAATTACTTAAATTTCTGCACCTTAATATGTGCAACATATAATTACTTATTGCGTATAATCTGTATATTATATATTAATAGATCACATCTAATATGTTTTATAATAATTTAACTTTTATAAATATCTAAAATATTAAAAGCAATGCGCGATAAAAAAAGTGATAACGAATATACGTAATAATTTTTTTATAACTTCTAACTAATGTATAACATAATATTAAATTAAAATAAATTTGCAAGTAATTTAAATCGCGGCTTACTTTTCTCCAAGACTTTTTTCTCAAAAATAAAATTTAATTTTCTCGTACGTTAAAAAATGTAACAAAGACACTTCAACTTTATGAATTTTGTGATAAAAATCAATCAATTCTATTTATTTTATTCATTATCGTTAATAATCTTTGTATCTATGTCTCGGCACTCGTATTTATCTATTGTTACAGACATGGTATTATAAATTGCAGCGATCCATTCACTGTGTTAATTTGTCCGCTTTTCAATTAACGGCCGAACGAGTTCGGCGGCAGCGAATAAATTGAGTGTCGGCGACGGCGGTCGCAATCCGTTTGTGACTTTCTAAATCCACGTGTGTCGATTCCTGCTGGCTGAATTGTCGACGCTGTGCCACTGATCGTGTTTTAAATTACTGCCCATGGATGAAACGAAATATTACGATGCTTTTTAATACCACATTTTTTATTACGTAGTTTCATGGAATTAATACTAAGAAATTATCGAATTTTTAAATGCAAAGATTTGTTTTACAATTAAAATCGAAATGTATATATTTCTTAAAACTAAAGATATACTTGTCCGTAAATAAAATAATATAAAAATAAGACTTAAAAAAAAATTCAGAATACTTTTCGAATTTAACTTGGAAACTATTTCTCAAATTGCCAGTTTCTGATGTTTGATGGAGTTTGCCATATGAACACATCGCTAATTTCGCGGAGGGATGTAAAATTCGATGTAATATTCCGTCATTCAAAAAGCAATGCCGTGCTGAAGGCGAAGGTAACTTCGTGCCGGCCACCTGCAGGTAACCTGGGAGCGTCACGACGCCGCCGTCGCGACGAGTTACGACCACAAATCACGCGATTTGTAATTGCTACTATCAACTACACGATTTCACGTGGCGATTTCTACCTGCACATGTGGATGGAAATCCATAAACATCGATTCTGTTTTAGCTTCGTAAAACTTAATGTCGAACCTTGATGAAAAGTTTAATGTAATTTGTTTCTACGAATTTTTGAACAATCTCTAGATTCCAAGAACTATAATCAAAACATTTTCATCGATACATGAAAGAAACAACATTCTATTTATAACGTAATTTTAGAGATTACAAAGCTAAAGAAATGTTAAGTAATTTCAAACCCTTATGAAATGCACGTAAATTACAAAGTAAAATAGAGCCTGATCTACGGTAATTGAATTATACTAACATGAGCTCAATTTGAATAACATTTGGATTAAATATATGTTTTCTGTTTTATTTACATTATGTTTCTAATTTGTATATTTTCTTCATAATAATTATACGTTCTCGTAATAATTTATCTTTAAAATATCTTACAATATTAGAATTTTTATATGTTAACTATTAATTGTTTAAATATATACGACAGATAGAATCTATTACATATATACGACAGATAGAATCTATTACATTACATCTATTCTATTAAGAACATTTCTTGTATTTGTATAAAAAATTTTTGCACTAGATATCAAATTTTTTAATAAATGTATTATTATCGAATATATTAATATATATTTATCGAAAATTTGTGGAATATTAAAGATAAAGTAAAATTCTTTTTTTTTTGTTTTTTTTTTACATATGAAGAAATAGAAATTGCTGATATTTTCAGACCTTACGACTATACGCATGGGCGTTTCTAGTCCACATCATCATGTAGTATATCACGTACCGTGACAGAACGCGTTACCATTGTAACACGCTTGTTCCTGCGGCGATACATTACGTTACGTCCACGTCCCAGGTATTACTTCGGCTTCCCTCCTCAACATGGCTAGTAGCTTCGTACATGTTAGTAAGCTATGTTTGATTCGTTCGTCGGCGGTCATGGTGGGCTACGTTAAAAGCTTTCCTCGCCATCAAAGTAATTGCAGATATATAGTCTACGATGAGAACTACGGAATTGCTATAAATGTGCCGAAATTCGGCACATCAGAGTATTGTAATGTAAAGGCAGAAAAGTTACTTCCGTAAAAAATGAATTGCAATGTATTTACATTATGATTATTTTACTTTTGCTACATCTTCTTTAATATATTGAATAATATTCTTTCGTATTATTATAAGTATAAACTTTGTAATACATTATAATATTATCGTTTACATTATTAAAGATGTTAACTTTTATTAAAACAAAGAAAATTTTTAAAGATGTCATATTCACAAATTTTTCAAATTCAAAATTATACATTACATATATAAAAACTCACTTTTGCGAAAAATAAGTTTTCTTTAAATATAATTATTAATTTGATATAAAATTAATTTTCGTAGGACATATTAATATAAAATTATGAAAAAAAAAATACCAAAGAAAACTAGAAAAGATCATAATATTTGAATTTTTTTGTATATTTTCGTACAATATGTAATAGTTATGAAAATTAATGGTCAATAATTTTGTCGTTAGAAAATATTTCGAGGCGTGCCCTAGCTTGAATGCTCGACGATATGTGGCGATAAGTAGACGTGAACGCTTGTGTGTTCTGTGGCATCCGGCAGGTCGTATAGGTGCGCACCGTGTGTTTCCCGCGCGCGCTCCTTCCTCCTTCAGCGGCGCTGCTTGCCATCAACATCGCACTTCATAATCCTGGCAGTGTTTCTGCGCGTCTCGATCCGTTAGCTTATCCAATCGGTTCGTTCCTCTTTCCTAATAATATCAGTTTTGTTGAAATGTTCATAAAAGAATATTATCACTGGTTACGAATTACGCTTTTTGTTGTCCGTTTTCAAGTTAGCAACGCGTATACCGGATGTCATTACTTTCCTGCGTCAAACTCTTCTCTGCTTTATAGTGATTTTGGACAATTGTGATCATATGCTTCCGACCGTGAATATCTGATTTTTGTTTTGTGAAAATTAATATTTTTGCGATCTTATCTGGTTCCTGTGTCATTGAATTCATCTTGTTCTTTGAGTCATAAAACATTTTTTACAAGAGATTTTTTTTCATAAAATTTACAACTTTTGTTGCAACTTTTTAGTGCCACATAATTCAAATGACATTAATATTATATAATCACATGGAACATTTTGCAATAATTCTGTCAATAATTTTTTGGATTCACTTTGCTGACGAACTCTAGTGCAGTAACTAACACGTGTAAGAGACATTTGTAATGTGGTCATTCCGTTAAACTGGTTTCTTGTATCATATCGAAGAAGTTATCACTTTGCATAAATATAATTAATTACAGTATGTTATTGACAATTATATAAAACTACAACATGAGATTTTCCTTGACTGCTCACGTTTTACTTATCTATTTCCTTTATACTTCTCCTATTAGCATTTTCTTTACATGGCTAAGTTATTCTTATCACTCCATTACAATACAAAATTAAACATGTTAAAATGTTGATTACCATAAAAGCTTACTTCAAATTGAAATGTGAGTTGAATGTTTCAAAATAATAACTGCTGTTAAAAAAGGAGGGATCAAATAATTGGTAAGTTAGCACAATTTTTGTTTTATATTTTTGTGTAGTATACTTAAATATATTGTATTTATATAAGAACTATTATAAAATTATAAACTATTTATAAAATTTTATTTTAACAAAATTTATACGTATGTTGAATGTATATACGATGAATTATGTAAATGCTTAATAAATCAAGATTTACAATTTTTTAATTTGCGTACATATACATATACACATATATATATATATATATATATATATATATATATATATATATATA